GCTTTCATGAGGAAAATGCCATAGACTAGAAAATTCCAATGAATATAGGTGTCTATCCTGAGCTCTAACCTGTAGCAAAATGTCCATGTAGTCACATTAAGAAACTGGGGGTGCGGTGGGGAAGACATATTTCTTTCACTTGAAAACAGAGAAGAAAAAGAAAAAAAAAAAGTACTGACCATGACTTGTGAACCGTGATCTTGACTTGTCGTGTTGTATTGGATGTTATTGCACCATGTTTGTTCCGTGGAGATGTTTGGAATGTGTGTAGGAAATGACTCTGACTCATCAGTGCCTGTAGATCCCGGCAGCCCCTCAAAACCATCGATGCTTCTAGCAGTTTTGAAGGGTGGACCTTCCGCTTGCAGAGCTTGGTGTGCTTCCTGGAAGACATCTTCACTGATCTGCCTCTTGTAAGGATGAAAGGGGTTTCTGCTGCTCTTGAGAAACCTGTCGTAATTTCCTACAGTACTTTCCTCGTAGCTGTACCTTCTGAATTTTTCAGTGCTGAAAGTGGCCTTAAATTTGTTCTTGCCACAGTGAATACCTTGGCTTGTAGGGTATCTCCCATGAATATGATCGTGGACTGGAGAAGCAGGGCTGGGGCTGTGAGAAGACTCTGAACTCTTCCTTTCTGTCCTGCCGTCTGAGTCGTATGATTGGCAATTATAACTATGATTATCCTGCAATGAATTATTAGCATTTAAGATTAGGATGAACAACTATTTTTTCCTGTCAATTTAAAAAATAATACATAAATACTGCACAATTACCAGGCCTGACCACCTTTGTATAGACAAGTCCTAAAAGACTGAAAGAATTCTCTGACCTGGGATACAAAACTAATCAAAAGTATATTACTAAAATAATTCAGAAGACTGAAATGTCTTAATTTGTCTAGCTATCCAGGCAAAAAAGTCTTACCCAACTATTGACTTTTTGGTTTCACAGTTTCTGGGAAAAGCTAATGCATATGAAGTGCTGCAAACTTAAGTCAAGGGAATATGGTAAGTTGAAGCCTTATCAAATACAAGTTCAAATCTAATAAGGCTGATCCTGCTCTCTGTTACAAGCTGCCAGATACATTGCCCTTTGCATCACTTCCTTTCATTAACAGTGCCACACTAATTCAGAGAGGCATGTAGGCTCTAGGCAGACATTGCAACCATCTTCCTGTCTCATCTCCTCCCTTCCCGGCCTTACTTCACTCTGTGTGTGTGTGTGTGTGTGTGTGTATATATAAAAGTCCCCTTCAAACTCCCCCCACTACAAACAAACAAACAAAACCACCCAGCTGCTAAAGGGCCCTTTAATTTAGTGAAGAAAATCTTAATGAGAATGAGTGTCTACATCCTGACTGAATGTGTCTGATCCTTTGCTGAATGCAAAGCATGCATATTTTACCTAACATCAAGGTTGAATAACAGCTTGGATGCCTTTTGAGAAGACTTGCATAAGTCAAAAGCAGGTTATTGTGTTCAGCGCAAGGGGAAAGTAATGTTCTGGGATAGACAAAAGTCAGACTAGATTATCAAATGGCCCCTTTCTCACCTACACCCTCTAAATTCACTTTCTTTTTTTCTTACAATATTATAAGAGAACAGGTGAAAAACGAATGTATCTCTCCCTGAAGGACCAGATTTCAAGAAGTCCCAAAGGGAAGTAAATGTAAAAGCAAGGTTTTCTCCAGAGTGGAGCATGGCTGGACTTTCATTTACACCAAGGTCTGTGTGTAAATGAACAATCATTTTTCCCTAATTTCTAACCGCATATCTAACTTGCTGTAGGTCAAAGGTATTAACTTAGGCACTTTGTTCTATCACAGATACAAGCCAAAAAAAAAAAAAAAAACTGACCTTGTTGCAATTTTGACTTCAAAAGCTTGCCTAGATTACAGTTTCCTAATTCTTGCTGTCTTGTTCTTTTCTATAGTACTAGTATATATGTCTGCTATCTTTTCTTAAATGACAATTTTAAAAAGTTCCTCTGCTTACTTGTGTAAAGCTGTATGAATGGCAGTGCTGTCAGTTCTCCACCTGAAATTTTCATAATAGAAGTACAACATTGGTTATTTTGCTGTTTGACCAAAAAAAAAAAAAAACCCAAAACACCAAATCAGGTGGTTTATGTAAACATATAGTAGGGCAGCAAAAGAACCACATTCTCAGTTGTACTTTTTTGATAGCTAAACGGGGTGAATATATAATCACCAAAACCTTCTTAGGTTCTGGTTTGTTTTTAATCACTGAGGGGGAAAAAAAAAGTTCTATCTGTCTGTTTCTAATTAGTAGGAATTACCTGGAAAGCTTAATGTTGTCCCAGAAAAAGAGTTTCTATACTTCAAAAACAACACTTTAAATTTGTTGCCAGTTAAGCCTGCTGAGATTTTGTAAAGTGGTTGCTAAACCTCCTATCTGAGCTTGTGCCTCTGAGGTAAAAGAGCAGAACTGACCCCTCTTACTCACAGTTTGCTGAACTGGGGATACTGAATCCCCCTGTGGCTTCATGAGGTCATCTTGTTGTTCCCTTTCCAGAGTGTCCGAAGAAGAAAACTTAATATTAGATTGATCTTGTAGTAGTGAAACCATTATCAAATCCACGTCAGATAGAAATCCTGTTATAATGAAATTATATCACAATAAATATCTTCTAAAATCAAATCTGTGAATGAAACCATCTTGTTATCTGCAGATAATTAGATAATGCTAAATATCCAGCTCACCAATAACTCATCCTGCAGAATTTCTAATACATATATATATATATATATATAGTTATATCTCCTCTGAAGTTCTCAATCTCTTTGGACATGTGAGACATATCTGATGGTGTTTCATGTTAAGAGGAACAAATTTTATCTGTTAGTGTTTTGTTTTTCTACCTTGTTTTTTCCAATCCTTGCTCACTGTGACCTCACAGCAAAACTATAAAGGAACAAGTCGTGCCTCTCCTATATCATGTACATAATGCTGCACCAGGTGTGTACCTGTGTGAAGATGTCTTATGTGCATAGTTTAGACTTCAGCTATACAAATTGCGGGGGGAGAACTCTTCTTGAAGAGCTAATTTGCAAACTCTTTGCCACGTGTTTAAATGGCTGTTAGGTAAATAACTAAGGGTTTTATTAGGGTAGGTTAACAAAGATATATTGCTTAAAAATGTGGAAAACTTTTTTTTTCCCTTTACAGTTCAAAGAGAAATCTGTATTTATGATGAGTAAGGCTGTACTGCCTAAGGGGATAAAGCACAATGGGGCTTGGAAATAGAGTACGAGACCTCTAGTATATCAGGGAAAAAAAACGCTAGCTAAAGTTCACAAATGTTTTAGTCACAGGCTCATCTCCTAGTGGCTTAACTGGAGCTAGATGAGGAAATATCCTTCTAACTGCAGCTCACCTTGAAAGGAGCAGGTGGGAAACACTGGCAAACTGGAAATACACATGTATGCATATTTATAAATATTCCATACTGACTGCCTGCTTCACATAATTTTCCCCTTTAAGATTAGAGAAAGCTGTGTCTGACGTGGTCACAGATGAAGAAAAGACCTTCAGTTCAAGGAAATAAGTTTAATGAGAATAAGAAAATGAGCAAGTGAAGCTCTGAGGACTGTAACAATGTTTGTCGCTATTCTGTTCCCATTAGGCTTAACGTTAGGATCTGTGGAAGAACAGGCTGAAGAGACATTATCTAAAGGGTGAATTCAACAGGACAGAAAGGTTTGGCTCTCTTCCTGAAGGCAATCAGACTCTCTTTCTAAAAACAAAGTGAATATGTATTGGTTAATTGGAGACTTAATACAGTGTGCACTGGGAAAGCCGAAGGATTTTTATCGTCTTAGAAAAATAATTACGTGATTCCAGTGCTGTTTTCAGTTTCCAACTTAAATCAGCAACAATTTCTTACTCTGAAAGCTATTTGTGACTTGGCTTTCACTGGTATGTGTCTATAGATGCAGATGAATAGAAGTTGTCAAATTAATGTACTGTAAGAATCTTTTTATCTTTCTTTAAATTTAGTGTTTAAGATGTCCATTAAAAAGCCTAACTTTATTTTTTGAAATAACATATAGCAAGCCCTAAAACTCTGCAGTGTAAATTTAGTCTTTAGAAATGAAAAATCTAACCACTTGCTAATGAGTCTCCTTTAAGAAGAGAAAAATGGAGCTCAGTGGAGGTTGTCAATAATTAGGTTTACAATAAATCATTTACGATACAGTCATACAACAGTTCTTGGGAGTGGGAGGGCTTAGGAAATTGCAGGTTGCTTAGACATAGACCTTGTTAAAGAAAACAATGACGCTTTGATCTGGAAAAAAGTATCTGATTATCCTAGATGTAGCTGGAACCATTTCTCCACAGCCCATGTCATTTTTACTTTGGTAAATGTTGCATGACAATCCTGGGCTCCTATTATAAGATAAATATCCTTTTAAAAAAAGGAAACAGTGAGAAAGTGTAACCCCAGCTGAGTGTTTGGATAGCAAGGGAGCAGCAGCTGATCTATTAGCTCTGCATGACTGGAGGCTGTGGCACCAATCCATAGTTGAAACAATCCTTGGTTTTGTATTTTTTCTGGACATTGGTAGGCATTTTGCCGGTGATGCACTTCACCAGAGCTGGCCGAGCAATCGGAGCCTCTCGGAGTGCTGTATGTTACTGTAAATGCCCTCTGCAGCCCTTGGGGCTGAGATCAGTTTTCATGAGAGGAAGGTGTGTTTGGATGCTCCCCAATTCGTAATTCATTCTGCATGCGTGCCTTAGGGAGCTTGCTGATCCTTGCTTGACATATTGGCTTTTGTGATAATCTTCTCTCATCTCTGCCCCTTCCCCAAAGCAGTAAATCATCTTTTACCTCTCCAAATCACACTGATGTTTTCCAGTGCAGGAAAGAAGTAGCTATTTGAGATTTTTTTTTCCCCCCAAATCTGTTATGTGAAAGGAATTAGAGAAACCAGGAGTTTTCAGAATTCTACTTTTTCATTTGTTGTTTTAAAAAAAACTTTCTTCCAGTAACATTAAATTCAAGGTATTGCTGAAGTGACCAAAATTTTGTGACTAAAACTTGCCTTGTAAAAAGGGGGCTTTGTAATTTATATGGGAAGGCTTCGAGGGCAGGTCTTTTTAGTAGCTTCTAATAAATGCAAGCCCCTCTTCAGGAGTTTATTCCTGACAAATGGACTCTGCAAGTTGGGTTGGATTATGGTTGGTGATAGTGTTTTACACTCACTGCTTTGATTTGTAACGTTCTTGTCACTAAGGTTGACTCTGGTTTTAGAAACCATTTTAGGAGCAGGCTTTCAAACTACGCAGCTCTAAGCTGTGGTTTGGACAATTTGTTATTGCTTTCTTTTTATAGCATGTATTAGAACAGGCTGGATACTTGAATAGCTTTTACAAAGCTTTTAAGGATTTTCTTTTCTTGTCTTCTGGATTTATATTCCTTTGTGTGCCTTTGATCAATCTGTGCCTTTTTTTTTTTTTTTTTTGCTTTCTTGTTCAGAAGTTTTGGGTATAATTCTATCCTGCCTAACTAGTGATTGCGGCCACACTTAGCCATCTCTTGAAATATTTTTTTGTGTCTTCA